TATGTATGTATGTAAGGTAGGTAGGTATGTATGCATGTATGTATGTATGTATGTATGTAGGTATGCAATGTATGCAATGTATGTATGTATGTATGTATGTATGTATGTATGTATGTAATGTATGTATGTATGTATGCATGCATGCATGCATGTATGTATGTATGTATGTATGTATGTATGTATGTATGTATGTATGTATGTAATGTATGTAATGTATGTAATGTATGTAATGTATGTAATGTATGTAATGTATGTAATGTATGTAATGTATGTAATGTATGTAATGTATGTAATGTATGGTATGTATGTATGTATGTATGTATGTATGTATGTATGTATGTATGTATGTATGTATGTATGTATGTATGTATGTATGTATGTATGTATGTATGTATGTATGTATGTATGTATGTATGTATGTATGTATGTATGTATGTATGTATGTATGTATGTATGTATGTATGTATGTATGTATGTATGTATGTATGTATGTATGTATGTATGTATGTATGTATGTATGTATGTATGTATGTATGTATGTATGTATGTATGTATGTATGTATGTATGTATGTATGTATGTATGTATGTATGTATGTATGTATGTAATGTGTATGTATATGTATGTATGTATGTATGTATGTATGTATGTATGTATGTATGTATGTATGTATGTATGTATGTATGTATGTATGTATGTATGTATGTATGTATGTATGTATGTATGTATGTATGTATGTATGTATGTATGTATGTATGTATGTATGTATGTATGTATGTATGTATGTATGTATGTATGTATGTGTATGTATGTATGTATGTATGTATGTATGTATGTATGTATGTATGTATGTATGTATGTATGTATGTATGTATGTATGTATGTATGCAATGCATGCAATGTATGTATGTACGTATGTATGCATGTATGTATGTATGTATGCATGTATTCATGTAATGTATGTATGTATGTATGTATGTATGTAATGTATGTATGTATGTATGTATGCATGCATGCATGCATGATCCTTGCACTTCCCCTTTTATTTCCCGCAAAATACACGGTTTTTTTCGCGTTTTCGCAAAGAGGATGTCCAAAAACACAGAGTTTTGCCAGATTTTCGGCAAAAGGATGCAGGAAGCCCAAGCCAGCAAAAAAGCCGGCAGGGGGAATCGAGCCTGGGACCCCTGTTTTGCAACACCGGCTCCCCGAAGACTACGTTTAGTGGAACGTCATCAAATTGCCGCGCGGTACGCCCCCCCCCCCCCAAAAACCTACGTAATAGACGTCGGGCGGGGGGGGGGTTAGGGGGGGGGGGTTATCCTCTATCCTCTCTTAGGTGTCCGACACGCCGAGCAATGTCGGCGGACTCAGTCCACCAAGAGGTTCACGACAAGAACTCTTCTACTTTCTCGAACAAGGAGCGCGAAGGAGAAGAAGGTTCCTGGGTTGAAGATGAAGATGGAAACAAAGGTTTCGTGAGAACCGAAGACGCGTTCGCAGTCAGACGCATTCGCAGTCAGAAAGGTGTCAGGGCGGAACCTAAGACCAGGAAGAAGAAAAGGAAACCAAGAGGCGCAAAGGGAAATCGCGACGGGGCTGTTTCAATCCCTTCCGAAGGAGTGGCGCACGCGGCCCGACGACCCGGCGCGTCGCAGGAAAGGCAATTAAAAAACAAGCTCAGGTGCTCTTCTCAATGCTCACACCCTCGCAGAACTTTTGGTGGAGCTCTGGTGGAACGAACCTGGTGGAACCCTGTGGAACCTTGGTGGAATTCTGGTGGAACGTGGAACCCTTCTAAAACCTTACCTTAGAGCCGCCACCACCCCGGAGCCTATCTGGGCTGACCCCAAAGCTTTCAGCTGACGGGGAAAAAAAGGAAAGAAGGGAGAATGCCAGTGTCAGAATCTTGTTGATGGCAATGTACGGCGTACAGGGAAATGGCGGAAAAGACCAAAACATTCGCCGGCGTTCGTAGAAGTCACAGGAGCAACCCGCCGCTCAGCAACTGCCTCTTAGAGGCCACGTGCCGGCTGGAACGATCAGCGCAAAACAGGCAATGATCACAAGTCATGCATCATCCGTTTCAACATGATAACCATGAAAGCGCTGACAAGAAGCTGATCCACACAGTTTCCTCTCGCAACCCTGCAGTGACAGCAAATCACAGCCTGCTAGCAACAAGGCTATTGGTGCCGGGCGTAAACCCGCAAGACAATCCGTTTTTGGACAATGGCTGGGAAGCTGGCGTGCAATCCAGCAATTGACACAAAGCACTTTATTTCCTATGAGTGCCTTCCTGCAAGCGCCAATGCCAATGAAGAGTTAGCTGAGGCCAACTGGGCCTTACGCGCCAGAGTCGACATTCCGAAGCAAGCGTTGGTCATCTGAGGAATCACATGACAAGGCAACCAGTTCCAGTTTCTGGCGCCGGACATGCTCTTGTAGACCTTGCAGGCGCGCGGAGAGATCGCTGTGAAAGGCCCCAACCGTTTCGTCTATGATGATGGCGAAAGCGTCAAGTTCCCTCTAGCAGAGCCTGCGACATCAGAAGTTGTTATGCGCATACAAGTCATCACCAACGAAAGAGGGCGTAGCAACTCCAAAGATCGTCGGACCAGCGAGGCAGGATTGTTGGACTCTCGATAAGAAGAACAAGCAACGCACTCGCGTTTGCGTCACGCCTCGAAAGGCGCTGTTCGCACCAGCAGGGGTGAAAAGAATGTCCCATAGATCCAGAACAGATCAGCCAAGATTGCAACAAAAGGTGGAGATTCAGACGCGCTGAAGGAAGAAGGACACATCAGTTTTGCCACGTGCGCGCCCGTTTCCAACATACTTGCCGTAGAAAAAGGCCTCGCCGCCCTTGCTGCCCATGTATTCACACGCTGTGCTTCCCAGGATTTTCCGCAACCATGTCACACATCAGATCGTCGCAGAGAAACAGATCCAGGGCCGAAAGGTACCCCTGGCAGGGGTGGTTGGGAGGGGGTTAAAAAACTGCTCGGGCGAGCGTGGTGTATGTTTCTTGCGTCCCGAACAAGCCAAGTGCGCTTTGCCGAGTTCCGCAGTTCGACTGGTTCGTTCTAGACATGCGTTGAAACACCTTGATATACTGCGTTTTCCCATGTGCCCTTGGAAGGGTTTTCCTCGTTGAGTGCGCAGCCAAGCATGATGGGTGAGTGCCAAACTTCAGAAATTCCCAAGAGCCAAAAAGTTCGAAGACAGGAAATCAAGGCTCCCCATTAGGAACATAGCCAGAGGACTGGCATGAAGTGATGGGCGCGGACCTCAGTGCCAACTCACAGTTGTCACAAATCGCAGACGCGTAGACCATTGGAATTGGACTTACGCAAAAACTAAAACGCCAAAAAACCTTCAGTTTGTGTTTAAAGAGCTTCAAACAGTTCTAAACTCGCTTATGTGATCTCATATGTCCTTGTGAATGCGGTTGCTGTTGTCATCCGCTGTGGCCGTCGTCTTTTGTTGTTGTTGTCGTTGTTGTTGGTGGTGGCGGCGCTGGCGTCGGTGTTGGCGCCGGCGCCGGTGTTGGCGTTGGCGCTGCTGCTGGCGCTGGTGTTGTTGTTCTGGTTGCGGTTGCGGTTGCGGTTGTTGTTGTCGTTTCCGTTGTCGTTGTCGTTGTTGTTGTTGTTGTTGTTGTTGTTGTTGTTGTTGTTGTTGTTGTTGTTGTCGTTGTCGTCGTCGTCGTCGTCGTCGTCGTCGTCGTCGTCGTCGTCGTCGTTGTTGTTGTTGTTGTTGTTGTTGTTGTTGTTGTTGTTGTTGTTGTTGTTGTTGTTGTTGTTGTTGTTGTTGTTGTTGTTGTTTGTTGTCGTTGTCGTTGTCGTTGTCGTTGTCGTTGTCGTTGTCGTTGTCGTTGTCGTTGTCGTTGTCGTTGTCGTTGTCGTTGTCGTTGTCGTTGTCGTTGCTGGTGGTGGTGGTGGTGGTGGTGGTGATGGTGGTGGTGGTGGTGGGTGTGGTGGTGGTGTGGTCGTTGTTGTTGTTGCTGCTAGCATTGTTCTAGTCGCTTTTGCCCTCGTTGTTGTCGCTCGTTGTTGCTGATGCTTCTCTTGGTGCTTTTTCTGCCAAATCGGTTGTTGATGATGGTTTGCCGCTTGTGGTTTGCTTGCTCTGCAACATGTCCACATCAAAGTGTTTCGTAGTTCCAGATGCATATATCGCATTTGCATGCAGGCAAGGGGCGGTCGCAAAATGTTGTGGCGTGCTGGGGGGTTTAGCGCAAACGTGAATAAGCGGAAATGAGGGTTCTGGACGCATGGGCATTCGCAATCTCCATAGGATACTCAGCAGGATTACCGCAAAGCCAAACGGGACTCACCATGTCAGAGATGTTTACAACGTGGTTTGACCTCCAAACGCCGCTGAAAAGTCTATGCCACAACTCATTGGCTATCAAGGTACACGTTGCAGCGAAACTGAAAGCGTTTTAGAGGTCTAGTCTATTCTCCAAGTGCTCACCCACGTTCAAAGGTTCAGGTGCAACAAACGTCTACGCTGGTGAAACTTGCGGCATAATTTGTGGACAAACTTCCCAGGCAAGAAGTGCAAATACGAGGATGTCAAGGCTGTGCGTTTTGCGGAACTTGTCTGGTTGCTTGTTTTTCATGTTTAATTCTGAAGAACTGCTGAATTGCAGGCTGCCGAATTGTGCATTGCAGCCAAGGTGGGATTCGCACGGATCTGTTGGACGGTTGGAGTCTGCTTTACAATGGGGAGCCCCCTTTTGGATGAGTTCCAAGGGGCACCAATGGACCAGATAAAAGCCACTGGGTCCATTCTTGGAAGCACTCAGACATTTTGAGGACATTGCCGCAGAGTACTTGCAAGATGCCAATCGGTGGGAGGAGGCTGGAGACAGACGAGCATCTCGAATGTTTCTCACCTGACAATTTCAGCCATAGCCATTCGATGGATTTTCGCGGACGCTTCATGAGCTTGAACAGCCTCCTGCGTTGCCTCAGGTACGCTTTTGGATCGACAAGTGCTGTATCCGAGCCTTGGCAGTACCCAAAGCTGAGGAGAGTTGACAGATGTTGGTAGGCCTAGAATGTTCAGGACAAAACGAGCCAGAGTTCATGGCCGTGTCCATTCAGCTGATCGAGGCTGTATGGATAGTACAAAAGCAAAGCTGAGCGTTGAGACTTCAGGAGTTTATACAGCTTTGCGATGGCATGGTGGTGATTTTGACTTGGTCCTACCTGCAGCGGCTGTGGCCCGTGCCTTTCCGATTGAGATCGGTTGAGAGATCGGTTGAGAGATCGGTTTGACAGGTGCGTCTACGAGTGGGCGTGCTTTCTGGTCTTTCACGAGTCGGGACGAAGCCCAAGGATTGGAGCGAGGGAGCGCGAGCGACTGAGGCCACACGACCTGGTCATCTGTGCTGAGTCCCTCTACCGTGCCGGGACAGAGGAACGGGAGAGACGGGGAACGGGACAGAGGAACGGGAGAGAAGGGGAACGGGACAGAGGAACGGGAGAGAAGGGGAACGGGAGAGAAAGGGCATATCATGCTGAGATCTGTTTGTTTCACCTGAATTCCCTCCGCGTGCGGTGCTACTGGGCTGCTCGTTTCCCATTGCTTAGCGGGCAGCTTCTTGTTCCCAGCAATTTCACCTTAATTTCACCTTGTACAGGCAGTCTTTGCGGCTCTTCTCTTTAGCCTAGGCCTTTGGCCATAAGTTTTCGAAAGGGAGCTAACACAAACTCACGACACGCTTTGCTTCCCAAGTTGCATGCGTTCCGATCGGGCAACAGAAGCGAGCATGCTAAAAGAGACAAGAAAAGCCCACCGAAGAGTTTGCAACACCTCCAGGCGGGCCGGTTTTCTTGTTCCCTTCCAAGGCATCCTGAAAGGAGTTCCCTTTGAGGTAGACACGCATTCAGCGCATATAGCGTATTCCTATGTCTTGCTTCATTGCCAAAAAAGGCTTGCCATGGCACGGCCAAATCGCCTGGGAAGGAGCGCTTCCTGGAGTCCGTGCGCCACTTCTCTGTGAGGAGCTGCCAGCCGGGCTCCCAGCCACAAGCACAGAAATGCGAAATCTTTCCGCATGTTGTTTTTCAGGCGGAAAGCGGAAAGAGAGGAAAGACGGACTGGATCTTGCCGAGGTGTTCAGATCCGGCGGATCGAAGTGTGCTGAGACAGAAGATCAGTGAGTCCGATCCTTGAAACGGGTGGCCATGCCATCCAGCGAAACGGAGCGAAACCTGAGGTACTACGGTTGCTGCGAGAACTTCGAGCGGTTCTTGCGTGTCTCAGCATCGGCCTAGGGGATGCAAAGCAAAGAGCAAGGAAGCAAGGAAGTAATGGGTCGAGTCGATGGTCGCCTTCGAGGTCATTGCCATCACAGTGCGCTGCCTGGCAGCCCGTGCTGCCGGGGCCCGGCTTTGAGTGCGTGCCAACGCGAGCCCGGCCAGCGAGGCTCGCAACCACCTTTGCATTGGGAAGTGGATCTCGCTGGCGGAAGAGCTGGGTCTGAAGGAGCGCGAGCTTTCGGCATCTGGAAATTTGAAGTCGAAAGCTATGCCAAGCTGAGCCGCTGAGCACTCGCAAGGAGTTGGCAGCTGGCCTTCAAAAAGCCGCAGCTCTGGTATGGCCTCAATGCCAAATCTTGGGTTTTGAGCAGTTGGCCAGGCTCCTCAGGCTTGGCGCCAACAAGCAATGGAGGAATGGATGCGTGCACCAGATTCTCCATGTTTGGGATTTCTTGCAGATGGGTTGTCCGCGGTCCCTGGGGTGAACTCGAGTCGGGGCACACGCACAGTTGCTTTGCAGACCGAAGGAGCAAGTTTCAGATATGCAGTTTTACATCAAGGCAGGCCTCGGGGAATGGGGTAGGGTTTACGCATGAGTGCGGAGGTGTGTGTGTCTTTGTGTGTGTGTCTTTATGGGTATGTCTGTGTGTGTGTGTGTGCGCGTGTCTCCTCGTGTGTCTCTGTGTCTCCGTAGCTGTGTCTGTGTCTGTGTTTGTATCTCTGTGTGTGTGTGTGTCTGTTTGTTTGTGTCTTGCTTGTTCCTGTGACCGTTCCTGGACCCAGACCGATTGTGAGGAATTCTACTCACTCCAAAGCAGTCATCCGTGTCTACAGGTGAATGTAGGTTTAACAAGAATGCCAAGAGCCACAAAGAATTGAAGAAAGCAAATGCAGGGCTGTGGATGCGGGACATACGGTTTCTGTGGTGGGTCAAGGTATCACCAGTTCGTCCTGACTTCCCCGTGCCATGAAATGCCCCACCAAGCAGCAAGCATGAAAGGCCCAAAGCGACACCTGGTTTGCCGAGCACATGTTTCCAATCCTAGCGGCGGAGCGGCGCCGTGCTGCCGGCCACTTATGGATGGGTCCGACTTAATGGCCAATACATGACTTGAGTTACATCTTGGGTCTAAGGTTCAAAGACACATCTTCCGCACGATGATTCTTCGCAAGGAAACTGCTGCGGCCCCACTCCGGATTCTCTGGATTGCCTTGAGAGGAAATGTTCGAGCGAGGTCCGCAGAGCGCTGAGCGCCAGAGCCCCAAATCGCCTTTTGTTTTCTCCCAAACCTTCGTCGACGCATTCGACGCATTCGACGCATTCGACGCATTCGAAAGGACTCGAACTTCAAGCAGCCAACTCTCAAAGCCGGCAGGGCCTTGAGAGCACGGGCCCCAGTGCGACAGTGCAGTCCGAGTTGCGAGTTGCGAGTTGCGAGTTGCGAGTTGCGAGTTGCGAGTTGCGAGTTGCGAGTTGCGAGTTGCGAGTTGCGAGTTGCGAGTTGCGAGTTGCGAGTTGCGAGTTGCGAGTTGCGAGTTGCGAGTTGCGAGTGGCAGTCAGATGGCTTGAGATGGCTTTGGATGGCTTTGGATAGCTTTGGATGGCTTGAGGTCAGACACAAATTAGCGCCCGCTACAGCATGAGGCGAATTTTAAGTGTCTGAAGCTGAGTGATACACTGGTCACATTGCAAGATTGTGTTGCTTGTGTTCTTGGGCTTGGCGCACTCAGCCACTCGATCCGATGGACCGTATGGCCGAAGCCAAATGCATGAGATGTAGTTCTACTTGTTTGCAAAAGTCGATTCCTGCTCCCTTGCGGAGAGAATCGAGAACGGGCGGGTTGAATCCTGCAGTGAGCTTGGCAAAAGGCCGGCATACGCTTGCCGTGGCATGTGTCAAGCTTGCTGTTTCAGGCGGAAGCACGAATTCCAAAGTATTTTCACAAGTTGTCTCTTGCTTTCAGATCTTTCAGGCATTTGGCCAAGGCCGCAGATTGCCCCTACGCGGCAGTCCGCGAGTGCCTTGAGCTCGGCCTTGACGGCCTTGGTTCCAAGTCCTGGGAGTGGGTTGAAGTAAATTAAGTGATACAACCCGCCAACCCGGTGAATTTGTGCAAGTGCTATAGATGCGCGGGACAATACAGGTGCGGAACCATGCGGAAGCTGCCTGGGGAATTGTGGTTTTCTAGCATCTTTTCATGAAACCTGTCAACTCAGACTCATGCATTGGTGCAGCCCAAGCACGGCGTAGATTTTTAGTCCAATGAGACAAACTGTGCACAGACTGTGGACAGACTGCCTCCTTGATTCTGTCTTTCTTGAGTTGTTGCCGGAAGGTGTATTTCATCAAGCTTTCAGAGCATTGCTGTGTGGCAGAATTTGTGCACGCCTCGAGCGAACGGTTTGTGCGCCTGAAGGGACTGCACGAAACCAGAGGGCATTTTGGGCCGGAGACGTGAGCGGATCCGTGCATTTCGTTACGCCGCGCTTGTAGAGATTGCGCGTTTGCAACCCACACCCGACATCCGAGGCTTGAGAGCCAAAACATGCCGCGAGTCTGCATCTCTCCGATCTCGAACACGTGGCTCGTATACGCAGTTCCGCGGGGCTCGAGCGTGAAAGTGTAGGGGTTTGTGTGTTATGTTTTTCCATATGGCTACATCGTAAATCTAGAAGTGACAGTGAGAGTTGGCTGGTTGCTCCTGATTCCCATTCTCACATCATAGCGGGGAACGTCCGTCTTTGCAATGATTCGGCTGGCGGTATAGTTGCAGTCATGGTTTCTCCCTGAAAGCAAAATTATCGCGTGTGTCATCGTGCGAATCTCAGGGGGAAGTTCTCCAGAGTTGGGTGCAGGGCTGGATGTTCGCGTGGCAAGATATATGTTTTTGAGCCCTCGTGCTTCGAGTCGTCGAGAGAGTTGGAAAGTTGGTCTCAGGTCGACTCGACATGGGCTGAGTTTGATTCGGCTTGAGGGGTTTGACACGGGCTCTCAGGTTGGTTCTCGGGGTTCTCGGGTTTCGCGCAAGAGCATGGGAGTCCCGAGAGCCTTCTCACTGGGCTCAAGGCACGGCAAGGCCGGCACATCCCTGGGCCAAGATGTGACGCCATGGGCTCGTCCTTGTGCCACCTCGAGAGTGCAGCTCTCAAGCCATCTCAAGCCATCTCGAGCCATCTCGACCCCAGAGAACTTGAGGTGAGGAAGCAAGCCTGACAATTTGGCAAATGGGCAATCTGATTGTCGCAAAGCCCCTCACGCGGCAGGGCGGTGAGCTTTGCGACCGAGCACCCAAATGTGCTGCTCTCACGAATCTCATGTAGCTCATGTGGCTCATGTAGCTCATGCGCTTGGAGTCCCGAGGCGCGGCCAGATGCGACGCTGTGCCGTGCAGCGGGAGCCGAGATCGCCAGAGCCCAGGAATGCACGCAACTACTTCAACGTGCGGCAAGTGAATGATCAAATACAGGTTCAGCGCCTGGGGTACAGTGACCCACGCGCAGGAAACGGCACAAACAAAGCAGGCTGAAACCAACAAGTTTTCACGTCTTCCAAGTCAAGCGGAAATGGATGTATCCACTGTTGACACATCCATTCAAAGCATGCGGGTTCTAAGATCTCTGTTTTCGCTGGCTGGTCACCTGGTCACCCCTTTGCAGGTTTAGGTCGCCCATGTGTTGAGACAGACCGGCTGCAGGCTCGAGGGAAGATCTTGCGGCCTCTGCCTCTTGCGGTTTTGGTCGGCGGGCAGAAAGCCTAAGCTGAGGACTGGACAAAGCTGGAGCTGGGTTTGGCGACCGGTCGGCGCGGATCGCAGATGCCTTGCATTTTGCATCTCATTTGTTTCGCATCTTTTTTGGACGGCAGCACGGCAGCACGGCAAGGCATCCGCGTAGGGCAAAGCCCACGTGCCGGCGCCCGGTGGTCAGCCCTGGCTGTGTGTGGCCCAGATTTCTTCCACCAAGCCTGATCAGTGCGAGATGCGAGATAGCCCAGGTCTTGTCACACGATACTTCGGCACCACTGAAGGACCGAGAACTTTGCGATGGAATCTACGCGTCTTTTCTCCAGGGATCGGAGCGGATGCCAGCTACCAAGAGCCACCCGACCCCGCAGAGGATCGGGGACTCGGGGACTCGGGGACTCGGGGACTCGGGGATTCGACGGGGGGACGCGGGGTGCGCAGGTCTACGAGCTAAAGCCACGGCCCATCGGCAGGAAGCTCAGCGAATTGGGACGGCCGAAACCCTGAAACCACCTGAAACTTCAAGAGAAGACGGAAGGAGGGACAGAGGGAAAGAGGGAAAGAGGGAGCGGTGAGTCGGTGAGACCTAAGCTTCATAGCCTGAGCGTGTCGGTTTCTCAGGCTTTGGCTCCTCTGGGGAGGCCCGACACTCGATGGATCAATGGATCTGTGGATCTGTGTAGATCTGTTGGAAGGTGCTGCTGGCAAGGCATCGGAGCACCAGGCCGTTTGTGCCGGGAGTCTTGCAGATCCAGCATTTGGACCAGGGCTCTTCGAGCGCTGAAAAAGAAGTCTAAGGCAAGTGGGTCCAAATGGCTTCCATTGCTTCCATTGCCGCATCACAGCCCGAGTTCTCACAGGTTTCGAGAAAAAGGCTCATCGTGGATGAAGATGAGGCGCACTTGAGCGTTTTGTTGCCTTTGTCCTTATCAAGTCAGCAAGCGGGCCAGGGACAGCCGACTCCACATGAAGTTGGTAGAAGGCGGCGAGATGAGGTGCGCATCCCAATGCATGCCAATGCCCTCATGTTACTTATACTTATGTAGCAAACAAACACTGAAACGCGACAATTCAATAGCACATGAGAAACGGGAGATCGAGGTGCGAGAGGTGGAAGCCCTTCTACGCAGTGGACCCCAGCTTTCGACATTCGACAAATTCGCTTTCCGACGCTTGCCTTAGGCCTAGACCATCCCAATGTGGTCAAGCTCTTTGAGGTGTTTGAGGATCAGGAGAACGCACGTGATCCGGAATCCATGGCTTCCATGGCTTCCATGGCTTCCATGGCTTCCATGGCCTGCCAGAGTATGAGTTGTGAGCCTGGCTCTGTCGGAGCGTTCCTTGAGGACAGCATTTGCCTGGTGCTCGAGCTCTTGCCGGGCAGCAGTCTGCTGGAGCTGCTTATGCCAAAGAGCTCAAGCACCAGACTCAGCCAGCCCTTTCCCTGTTTGGAATCGTGTTTGAAGCAACCTATTCGTTATTGGCATTTATTGGCACCTGTTGGCACCTATTGCCATCTATTGCCATCTACTCTGGCACCAATTCGCACCTATTGGAACCTAATGGCACCTATTGGCATTTGCTGGCAGTTGTTGGCATCCTCAGGCATTTGTTGGCATCAATTGGCATCTATTGAAATCTATTGGCACCTGTTGGCACCTAGTGGCATCTATTAGTTAGAGTGGGCTCCTTCTCCACTCAAGACATTTCATAACAGTCTCAACCTCAAATTCTTTCAAAAAGTCACATTTTTCTCATTTCTATTCCATCATTCTTGTCATTGTTAGGATGCTGGAGTGGAAATAGGAGTATAGGGTAGTTCATAGGATATGGTTATTGGATGGTAGAAAAGATGGGCAAGGTTAAGTTCATTCATATAGAAAGAACATCAACAATAAATTTTCAATAAAAATAGAGTATAACTATAGTACAATGAAAGGTTATAAAGTTTTACAATGTTAATATATATTATAATTAAATAATATGAATAAACAGTCGCCCCAAAAAGGGGGAACAGACGCCGCAAAAAGGGGGAACAGTCGCCCCAAAAAGGGGGAACAATCGCCCCAAAAAAGGGGGAACAGTCGCCCCAAAAAGGGGGAACAGTCGCCCCAAAAAGGGGGAACAGTCGCCCCAAAAAAGGGGGAACAGTCGCCCCAAAAAAGGGGGAACAGTCGCCCCAAAAAAGGGGGAACAGTCGCCCCAAAAAAGGGGGAACAGTCGCCCCAAAAAAGGGGGAACAGTCGCCCCAAAAAAGGGGGAACAGTCGCCCCAAAAAAGGGGGAACAGTCGCCCCAAAAAAGGGGGAACAGTCGCCCCAAAAAAGGGGGAACAGTCGCCCCAAAAAAGGGGGAACCCCACCTAATTTCAAGAAAAACATGCTGTTTTGTCGTTGGATGAACCTAGAAATTTCAAGTTTCAAGCCCAACCCCAAACTCAAAATCCTTAATCCGTCAAACTCACCAAGATTTCACTAATTAATTCGCTAGGTAGTCTATATAAATCTTCCTGCTTATGTATTATTGGATTGTCTCCCCATTTTTCCTTGTTTCCATTTGGCAGTCTTTGCGCAGTTTCAATATGTTTATTTTTCCTGATGTTGCCACAATCCTTTTTACATAAATCTCTAGGTTTCCAAGTTGTAATGTTATTCCATAGCCTAGTCCTCTTTCTGTAATTAAATCCATATTTATAATAATCTACATCTTTAAAATCAAACTCATCCATAAACTCCTGATTTTTCAATAACCCAGTTTGGGGATTTTCGATTACACAATATTTAGGATCAAAATATTTGATAATATCAATAGATTTTTAAGACAATACTATTTGCATATTTGATATTCCTAATTCCCGTAGTTTTTGCTTTGCTGTATTCCGTACATGGAGGACTTGCCCACACAAAATCAAAATGGTTCCTATCAAATTGTTCATAATCCCATTTCAAAATATCAGTATTTATATCAGCATTTTTCAAATCCAATGAAATAACATTGAAACCCATTGCTTTTGCAACAAGTCCAACACTGCCTGTCCCGCTAAACATCTCTAATAAGTTCATTATTAAAGATATTGAGATAATATTATCTATGAATAAATCCCTGATTCTTCATCATAGTCAATTTGATAAAACGTCATAGTGGAAGACTTCGGTTCTTTAATTTCTTTGGTATTAAGTTTG